TCGAATCAAAATTAAAAAACGTTTAGTAAATTCATTCAAAATTTCCTTAAGTTTTTTATTATTATTAATTTCACTACTTTCGTGGTCCGCTTGACCAATTAATATATTACAATTAATTAAGGTTTTTAGTTCAGATAAAAAATGGCAAAAAGGAGGGAAAATTCAAAAGTTGGGGTTGCGATCGAGATCACGATAGCTCAAGTGGTAGAGTAGCGGCGTATCTAGCCGAAGATCGTGGGTTCGAATCCCGCTCGTGCCATTGACTTTTTTATCTCAACTAAAAACCTTAGATGTAGATGTAGATGTAAATGTAATATTTCAGGGTATGGTATACTGCGCCCTTTGAGAGCTATTGTATCCCCCGTTCTCTGCCTAAAGCACATCAGTGAGTCATATTTCATCAAGAAACTTGATTAGTAGGCCCGGTTTTAATGGTTGAAGCTCTTCTATGGTCACATTGTACATCCCAAAACATTTCCTCCTGCGGGCCAATGTAGCTCCGCAGTTTGTTAGTAAGTGTGTTGGTGTCTCTTCTGCTTCCTTGCAGAATCTACATGTGCCATCTTGGATTGTTCCAATTTTCTTAAGGTGTCCATTTAATCTACAGTGTCCTGTTAGGAATCCTGTTAGGATTCGCAGTCTGTTCCTGCTTCCTTTGACACATTCTGTGATTTCTTTCCTACCAAAATTGGTTAGATAGAAGATTCTTGGATTGTCTATGTACAATAAGTGAATTCCAAAGTTCCCTCATTTTCTTTTTGTCCTTCTGTCTGAGATATTCGTTAATAGTGTGGATTCCTATGCCACAGAAGGGTTCGGATCCTATCAGCGGTGTAGCAGCCCCTTTCCTTGCAAGGGTGTCCGCTTTCTCGATGCCTTCTACTCCCATGTGTCCTGGGACCCAGCAGAGGCTGACGTTATTCTGCATACCTAATATATTTAGTTTGGTTTTGCAGTTCAGCACCATCCTTGAACTAATGGCTTAGTGCTTTGATGGCTGCTTGGCTATCTGACATGATAGCTATATTCTTGTTTTTGTATCCTTTACTTAGATTGAATTGAATACAACTTTCAATTGCGTGAATCTCAGCTTGGAAGATACTGGTGTGTTTTCCCATGGGTTCTGAGTATTTGGTACCGGGTCCAAATACTCCTGCTCCCGTACCTTCTTGTGTTCTAGATCCATCTGTGTACCAAAGGATGGTGCCATTTTTAAAGGAGTTATTTCCCTTTCTTTCCCATTCCTTTTTGGTGCCCAGATGTATTCGGAATTTTTGGTTAAATTCAAACATCCTGTTCATGTCATCTCTTGGAGCCATGAGTGATGGATGGTTTTTCCACAGTTTGTTTCTGTCTCTCCATTTCAGTTTTATCCCTGTTGGAGGTTTCTCTCTGATAAAGTTGATTATGGTTTTCTGTGCTATCCTTTCTACCATGTGATGTAGGGGAATTAGTCCCAATATCTTTTCCATGCTAATTGTAGGACATGTTCTCATTGCTCCCGTTATGCAGATGCATGCAAGTCTCTGTATTTTTGTGAGTTCTTTCCTTTTGGTTATTTGTTCCGCTTTATCAGCCCAGGCTATAGCTCCGTATGTAAGTAAAGGTATTATGGTGTACATCCATAACAGGGTTTCTGGCCTACATCCCCAGTTTCTCCCTGCTATTCTTCTGCACACCATCAAAGCTCGTGTCGCCTTTGTGATAATGGAGCTGATGTGTTTCTTAAATGTTAATTTTTTATCTAGTGTGATGCCCAGATATTTGACTTCATTTTTGATTTCTATCACAGTGTTGTTGAGTTTGATTTCTTACATGTGACCTAGCTTCCTTTTCCGTGTAAAAGTGACTATAGTTGTTTTGTTTGGGTTGATTCCCAAGCCTGCACTTTTACACCATTCTTCTGTGATTTTCAGTCCCTCTTGGATTATATCGCAGAGGGTTTCCTCGAATTTTCCCCTGGCTGTCAGAACTATGCCATCTGCATATCCCTGACATTTTATTTCTGAGCGGTCCAGGGTTTCGAGCAGTTCATCAATTGTTAGGCTCCATAGAAGAGGTGATAATATCCCTCCTTGAGGACATCCTTTTGTTCTAACTTCTATAGTGTTTATTCCTACATTTGTTTCATTTATTCTAGTTCTTAGCAATTCTCCAATCCATCTAGATGTGGTTTGGTCTACGTGTTTTTTCCCCAGGGAGGCTTCCATTGATGCACGAGATGCATTATCGAAAGCTCCCTCAATATCGAAGTAACAAGAATGGAAAAAATGATGAATTTAATAGGAATAAATTCGGGATCTGTACCATTAGATTTAATTTAAAGGATGGCTTCTAAAATATTTTCACGAGTTGATTTGAAAAAATGAAGGACAATTTTCGGAGATCTAGATGAGAAGGATATGGGATTTTTATTTTACTGAGCCTGTTTTGCTTATTTGTATGTTGCTATGTTGCTATGAACAGTTGTATTTTTGTGTCTATTGTCAATATAAAGGAGAAAAGCTTATAAAAAGCTATAAGTGGTTTCAGCAGTTGGAGTACGAATTCTCTCCTGACCATTTCGCCGATTTGTTCTCAGGATGTCTCATTATTTTGTAACAAGTATATTGTGACGAATGTATATATGTATAAATTTTTCCAAGCATATTGTAACGAATCTTAATGTGTCTTTTGTAATATCAAAATATTATAATTAGGTGACAAATCATCGATCATTCTTAGAAAAAAAATCGGCAACTCTTAATTTAAATAAGCTCATTATGTCTAATTTTCTGCGCGTGTAATAATGTCGTTGCATGTTAAATTTTATCCGCATTTTCGATGACGGCTGCATAAACGTGTGGACGCAATCCCACCTGCTTGTCTTGCTCATTTCAGAACATTTTCTGCTTGACGCTTTATTTTTCGCCCCTTTTATTCGTCGGCGAAATAATTGTTTCACATCATTAGTAACGATGCGACATTGAAAGGGAATTGTCGCCGATAAAACCTTGACCGTCTTGTTGCAAACTGTCAAATAGAACACTGTCGGACAGATTAGATTATTTGAGCTGAGGGGAAAATTTAGAATGGAAGCCCCCATTTGGAAATTGCGTCCATTAACTAATTGCAGACCGAAAACATAATTAAATCCTGCCATTTTACAGTAGAACATTTTAAAATGTAGTGCTTAAGAGATTAAAGTTACACACAAAAAAAAAATAAATAAATAAACGTAATTTACAACACATATATAAAGCCAATTTGAAAGAAAACGAAAAAACACTCAGTCCGTTTGTCGAGCTGTTGAAGCAGGACTTTGAAAGTTATGGTTTAATAAAAATTAAAGAATTAAATATACAGTGAAATATTGTAGCTCAAACACCAAAATCACACTAAACTGCTTTAAAATGAATAGGGATATCTATAATTTATTCTTATTCCAGTAATCTTAATTAAATTTACATTAATTTTCTTGTTAGTTGGATAAAGCAAAATAGAAAATACAAACCAAAACAAACAAACATTAATCATTTTTAATAGCGGATTACTTAAGAATATAAACTTGAAGATTATTCATTTTGTAAACAAACACCTTTTCTCGCCTTTTCTCCATTTTAATCCAGTTATATTCTCTTTAACGAGGAAATACATCATTTTGAACCAGTAATTCACAATATTGTGGGAATGAGTCATCGAGGTCACTGCCAAGTGAATATCGCACTCAGATGGCGTTCCTCAAAGTGTGGTCTCCTGGATTTTACCCCAATTTCATGAGACTGGAATTGCAAATATAAGACCTGGTAGTGGATCTCAGCACATACGATGCGAAAGGAGAATAGAAAGATTGTCATTGCTGCAAGACGGAACCCTTTCCATAGTGCCCACCAGATCCTAACAGAAGTACAAGATGCTTCGACAAGGCCTTTATCGACACAAACGTTTCATGATTAATTCGCAAAGACCTCAAAACCCCTTTGAGAAAACCTGCAGCAATAGCCTACCACCAGGAACTCAGGAGAATATGGTTCCCTGAACGCCTAGAAGAGAACACTAATTGGCATGCTTATGTTTATAATGAGTCTCGTTTTTGCCGGTATAGTGAGCAACAAAAGCAACTGGAATTCACAGGCAGAAACCATTGGCTCTTTCACAATTCACATTCTCGCTAATAAATACATTCACTCTCAACACATGCTAGGGACAAAGACTATCAGTACTACATACAGTAAATCTATAAAACTGTTTCGTATACAGGGTGTTCGGCTACTCATGTTACAAACTTTGTCAGTAGATTCTACATTCAAAATAGAACCAAAAAATCCAAATTAACTAACGCCTGACAACAGTTTCGGAGTTATTTCACTTTTTCTGATTTTTTAAGATTTCATGACCTTACTTCAAATAAACAATGATAACTCCAAAACTAAAAGGTTTTGTACAAATTGGTTGATACCATTGAAAACTACGTTAAATTTCCAATAAAACGTGATCAGAACTAAACTTGTAAACCTTCCTGAAATAAGCGTTTTAGTAGCCAGAACTTTGAAATTTTTTTTTTCAAAGTTGAAAAACTTACTATGGTGATTCTAAACTACTATTTCCAAACCTAGAGAGCAGCGAATTTTAGAAAACGTACTCCATTTAATATCCTTTTTAGTGGTGCAATTGCTTTTTTAATTACTTTTTCAAAGTTAAAGAAATTGATGAAGGAAAAGAAAAAAACATGGTTGAAGGATGGTAAGATGGAAAGATTAATAATAATAATAATAATAAATAAAAAAACTTAAGGAATTTGAATGAATTTATTAAACATTAATTTGGTTCGGTTTAATGACAAGTATCATCACACTCATTAAGACTGTTTATCCAGTATCAAACAAACATGTTCATACATATGTCTCAGCGTACATCACAATCCATATATTGAAAACTTAGTTTGTCTCATGAGTTCAACATCGATTCTTCATTTCTTCTATACGTACCATCTAACGATAAAATCTTTCTTAATTTTTCAGCCAAAGCTACTAGACGGTAGTTTAGGTTTTGCAGCTGGAGTCATGACTGCTGCTTCCTACTGGTCTCTGTTAGCCCCTGCAATTGAGATGTCTGAAGGGCCATATGCATTCATTCCAGCCTGTGTTGGGTTTCTACTTGGTGCTGGTTTCACATTTGCGGCTGATATTATCATATCGAAAATGGGCATTGAGTCACCAAATTTGCTTCTAGGTAAGCAGGTATAAAATATCCATTGCATGTCACGCTAAGGGTCCTGCAAGACACTAACAATTAACACAGACCTTTTGCTTCTTTTATTTTCAAATCAGGGTGCGGAATTATTATTAGACTATTATTTTTGTAACCTGTAAAAAATTTTTTTGTTTTAATATTACGGCAATGGTTTTTCTTTGTGCCAAATTTCACCCTGCTTCCTGCAAATTATATCCATTTTTTAAACATATTTAAATGCTCTTTTTTGGAGGCTTTTTTGAAATTAATAAAGGTTTTTAAAGGTATTGATTTTAATTTGTACTGGCCCATGGTTAAAAAAAAAGGTGTCATTTCATACATTTCTAACAATAAATTTTAATTCAAATAAATATGAAGGATCTAAATTCATAATTTTCTAACATTTAATTTATTGTTTCATTCCGATTTTCTAAACACATTCATTCTAGTATGGAGTACATATTGTGATAAATATATGCATAAATTATAACTTTAATGCATTACATTTTTTTAAGTGTGTGGTAAATTTTTGGTTTTGGGTTTTTTCTTTTAGATTTTTGCTTTTGTTTGGCTTTCATATAAATGTTTTCAGCTGAAAACAACATATTTCAGAACAAAGTGTTTTGCTCTTTTTTAAATATATTTATTATATAATTTTACATTATACATGTCTACAAGATGTTATAAAAGAAAAAAAAAGCCTCCTTATTTTCTCACGAATAAAAGGAATTTCTTATTGTTTTAGCCAGTATTACCATGGATATAAAAAAGATGGATGACATTGTATCAAGGCATAGAAACGAAAGCACTATTTGCGAATCTTGTAGAGTACGTAGAGCCGAAGGTAAAATTTCCTCAGAACAGACATAATAGTTTAATAATAACATGTATATAAAGAAATTTTGTTCTTTCTGTGATCAGCATGAAATATAAAAATTAAAGTACAGAAGCATGAACAAATGCATGGTTTTCACTCATGAAAAACTATAATGCTCGGCTTTGAACTAGAATTAACTTTTCACCACATTCCTTGCTTTTATTAAAAAAAATAAAAAAAATCACTTTAAAATGTTAATATCAAGTGTCAACATAAAGAACAGGCCATTAAATTATTCTATAATAATTTGACTGTTTGAAGAATTAGAAAAAAAAAAAAAAGATTTGCTGTTTACCATTGTAGTAGGATGTGATGTTTTAATTTTGGCTTTCAAGTTAAATTTTTTTAAACGCTTTCACAAACAGTTTAATTTGTTTAATTTTACAATATTTATAATTTTATTAGAGTGGGGAATACTGTAGAAGATATGAAAATATTAAGGTCATTTCATAAAGAGATAAAGTTCAGTTTGTCTTCCTAGGCTAGTGTGTACATATTTATTCTGTTATCATATTATCAGGAAGTGTAAATAATAAAAAGCTATTTATCTTGTGAAAAATTTTGATTATTTTAAACTTGCACATTTCATAACTTTCAATGTTGTCAAAATTTCATAACAGGCTTGTATAAACTTAACCATGGAATATGAAATTACTGCTATTACATATTCTAGGCTAAAAATTCAGCTATATGTATAGAATAAAAAATTTGTTGATTATTTCTAACATATAGTGTATATAAATTGCTAAGAAACCTTCTATAGTGTATACCATCAGTGATATTTTTTCCTGTTAAAAATGGCAGTCAAGGGGTGTCAGTGTCCAAGGTTGCTCATCACTGTAAGGAAAAGGTCCTGGGTTCGAATGCAGCAGCCCTACATTCGAACCTGACATACTTACAAATGGGTTCTTTTCAGAAACACTGACACCCCGAGAGAGTTCATATAACCTTGTAGTTAAACCCCTCCCTTGAAAAAAAATATTAAAAAAATAAATTAAATAAATGGCAGTTACAGAAAGCAGTTTAGAAGAGGGAAATGTGCATGCGCCAATGACTGGTATAGGAAGCGTGGCAAGGAAAAGAGGGCAAGTAACAACTAGACATCCTAAACCAGAGATGAAGCCTCATGACGCAAGACTGCAATGGAAGCGCATACTACTCCTCATTATTGCAATAACAGTACACAACATCCCTGAAGGTCTTGCAGTCGGTGTCGCTTTCGGAGCACTTGGAAACAACAATTCGACAACTTTCAAATCTGCCAGGTAAGACCGTAAAGTTAGAATTGAAATTTAAGTACCTTAGGTAGACCCAATACGACCAGACTACACCAAGCTGCAAATTAACTAAAATTTTGGTTTTGGAATTTGGAAAAGGGGCAAGGTTAAGGGTTATTCCTTTTTAGCATTTGTTTTTGATTATGGAATCCTAAATGAGTCTCCCTTGCTATTATAATCCCCTTTACAGATAATGTGGAGGACACTAGCCCAGGTTAACCTAACTTGTGCTCTTATTAATAATTAGTTAACTATACAATTAAATAAATATTTAATGAACACACTACATACATGTATCAATAAGTCAATTATTGATATATAAATTTTAACACACCTGATTAAAAAATTCCCAAAAACACCCTCTTCCTTGACTATAAATCCCCACAGCTGTAACATAGATCTGTGTGTACAGTTCTATAATCCGAATTGTTAATACAAATTAATATTCAATTGATAGTAAAGATACGAGAAAAATACAATCTCTCCTACAGAAAAGAAATGAACAAATAAATAAAAAATAAATGAAATAGAGGTTATTTACTTTTTAATAACATACATAGTACATCTATTAAGTTTCGTGGTCCGATTGAGCAAATAAATTCTTTTCAATTAATTAATCTTTAATGAAGGTTTTGGTTGAGATAAAAAAGTCAGTATCACAAGCGGGATTCGAACCCACGACCTTCAGGGCGTATTTAGCCAAAGGTCGTGGGTTCGAATCCCTCTCGTGACACTGACTTTTTTATCTCAACCAAAACCTTCATTAAATATTAATTAATTGAAAAAACATACATATATTGATTCATTGGAGCTACTATAATAATTTACATATCCTATCTGCTTATACACCCATTCAAACAGTTCACCAAAATTTCCCCCATATAAACTAAACTTCTGACTCACTTATTGACAGGTTGAGGGCTATCTGTCGGGGTAGACCTTAATAATATTTTAGATTTAGAAAAAAAATTAAATCTTCTTCTATAGTTTTCTCTTAAGTTAAACTTACAAGTGGACAACCAGATTGGTGTGTCATGGATTTAGAACAAACTTTTTTTTTGTTGATTGTACACTCCAAAAATCGGACACATATTCACCACTTCTCGTGAATAGGCCCTGGTTCTGCCAATATTTTTTTAAGTTGAAATTTTCCGTATTTTAATATTTTTATTTCGCCTGTCTACTCGCCCAAATCAACTATGCGAATATATCATTTTACAGCATTTTGTGCGTAGATTGCAATACAAATATATTAAAAACTATCAGAGTTTAACAGTAAACAAAAAATTTCTAAAAAACAAATGTTTTTCAAGTAAACTACGTCATACAATTTTTTTTCCGGCGAAATTAATATGAAATATCGTTTTACTACTTCTAGAGATCCCTAAATATAACTTTTTTGTTGGAATTTAAATTTATCGATTTTTTTGATCCCTGTTTTTTATTTTTTATTTTTGAAAAGTCGTCTTAATTTTCTGATTGAAATGGATATGAAGGATATTGACATCAAACATCATTTGAAAGAAGTGGAACATAGCTTTTAAATGACATATGTACCATTAAAATATTTCTATAAGAAAATAGACAAAATAGCAAAATTATTTGTTAGAAATTATTATTTTTTAAATGGAAATAATAATCTGATTAGTTGATGTTTGTTTCATTTATAAAATCATTGCAATATACAATTTCTTTAAAAGGAATTATTAACCATGAAAATCATTCCACTAGCTTTTGGGAAAAATAATGTTAGAACTTGCACTAGAAATGTGCTATTTTGTATGTTTTCTTATATTAATATTTTATATATTTTAATGGCGCAAACGTTATTAAAAAGCTAAACCCAAATTCTTTCAGATGGTGTATTTTGACATTAAAATCCTGTTAGTTTATTTAAATTATAGCCGTTTTTGAATTATAGCTCTTTGAATCAGACATTCCAATAACAGCCTAAAAAACAAAGTTTCATGAAAATAAAATTACAAGCTAGTTTACTTGAAAAATATTTAGTTATTAAAATTTTTTGGCTATTGTTAAACTTTGAGAGCTTTTGCTATATTTTTATTGCAGTATACACTTAAAAAAAATCTTATTAAATGTTATATTCATATAAGCGATTTGAGCAAGTAGAAAGGTGAAATAAAAATTTTAAAATATGAAAAATTTCAACCTTCAAAAATTTTTTGGGATGAAACCAGGGCCTATTAACAATAAGTGGTGGGATGGATAAAATATGTCTTATATTTTGGAATGTAGAATCACCAAAAAAGGTTTCGCCCAAATTCGTCATCCACCAACCTGGTGTTAATTTACATTTTATTATTATCATAATTAATGAAAATATCTTTCGGTATATATTGTTTTCACTTTATGCCACTGTATTTTAATAGTAATTTTTGATGTGCATTATCAAGCATTTTACTATTTACTAAGTAATAGATAAGTAAATAAAATATTAACTTCATTTTGTCATTACAGAAACATTCGACAATTTTGTTTGCATATATAAAATCAGAGTAATTACTCAGCAAAGAAATTTTTTTCTATATTTATCTTTTTGCCTTTAATAAAACTACAAGCCGATCAGTTAGACAAAACAAGGCCAGAACAAGCATAATTTACTAAACGGTGTCACCAATTTTTATTGATTAATCTGGGCCCTCAATTCACAGGCCATTAATCAAACCGAAGTTATTTCTTTTTAAATGGATACTTTTAAATCATTTGCACACAAAGCCATCGAATTTGAAACAGTGGTGGAAATTCAATTTTAGGAGGTGTTTTTTGTAAATGAGCAGTAAATTTAATTTTCTAACAACTTAGGTGAATTATTTCTACTTTGTTCTTAATTTTTAATGAGTAAGAGCGCTGATTCTGTTAATTCTTATGAGTATATCAGTCATATGAGTATGAGCAGCACTTGGTGTCATTCCCGGTGCATGTCGAAGCCCACAGATGGCGTTTGCACCAGATTCCCAGCCGACCCGACATGCCCAGGGGTTGTGCAACGGAACAGTCCGAGAGGGGTGCCAAGAAAGGAATGCAGACCCAGCCGGACGGGTCTCTTCTTCCATGGGAAAGGAATCCGAGTGCGGGACGAGACACGTGTTCTTCCTATCTTGCTCAATTCATCTTTGGCCTTCTCGTTTTCAATTCCCGACCACGTTGAGGAGGGCTGCTCGTGTTTTAAGAGGGCGCGTGTGAATTGGAATAGCATCGAAACTAATTTTTTTTGTTAGAACTAAAACCAAGAATTTTAAGCCGAAGACAAAGCCGGGCCTCTTCAGTATTCAACCTCCATGCTTTCACTTTAAAGATATTAGTACCATGACTTTAACTAATTATTATTAGTTAAAAATACATTAACGAGCTTATTTATAAGATATAATTTTCATCGTCATCCATGATCACGCTAAATGACTTTCAATGACTAAAAAATGACTTTCAACTAAAAAAAGTCTTCTGTTCAGCTTGTTCAGCAAGAGTCGGCCGAGGTTCTTCCAGACATTTGCTCCCCTTTTTTGTTTTTTAATTTCAAAACAGTCATCGCCTAGAGATTAAGCAAAGTTGTATCAGCGAGTGTTTAAAAACAAGTGTTTTTTGAAACAACTTGGTGAGTTTTCTGAGACACTGAGGACAATGGCAGTTTTAATAGAAATAGCGAACGTGGAGTGAGTGCGGTGTTCAATCCTTTTAAAAAGATAGTTCCTACTCACAGTAAGTTGTTTTCTAACGATCCGGATTTCGAGCTTTTAGCTCATCATCAGGTTGAAGTTCTATCACCTAATGATGAGCTATAAGCTCGAAATCCCGATCGGTGGAAAACGACTTACTGTGAGTAGGAACTATGTTTAAAGGAATGGCAGTTTTATCCCTGATTAGCATTGCCTGTTTTCGTTGTTTATTTCGAAGGAAGGATGAATCGACCGTCAGGATATCACTATTAAGTTCGAGATCAGGGATGAGGCCGTCAAAACAATTAAGTTTTGTAACTTATGCCAAGCTTTCAACCTTTACTGTGGTCTTCATCAGGGCTCTACAAGTAATTACAGCGTTTATAATTAACAAATAAGTAAGACAATAATTCTCAGATAGCAATGGATAATTTATCCTGGATTGATCATGGATGTTATCCATTGTTATCTGAGAATTATTGTGTTACTTATTATTTATTAATGATAAACTTTGTAATTAATTGTACTGATGAAGACCAAATAAAGGTTGAAAGCTTGGCATAAGTTACAAAACTTACTTGTTTTGATAACCGCATCCCCGATCTCGAACTTATTAGTTATTTATTTCGACGCAAACACTGTATAAATAGGTGTATTCTTATTTTCCTATTCGACGACATTATTATTTAAAAATTTTGATCTTAAGAATAATGTGCATTATGTGAACAATATTGAAAGTTGCAATACAATTTTACACATTTTTCATGCTTCACTCCACCGCTTCATTAATCGTAATGATTTTTCAAAAATAAATAAAACACATTTACATATTTTATCAGCGTATTAGATAAGTACAATTATTCTTCGTATTATTATATAAATTAAAAAAAAAAAAAAACAAAAAAAAAACTGAAAATGTTATTTGGATAAATGATGACCCTATTCTAGAAACCCAAGATTGTAAAATTATTATTGAGCCAGAAACCCGTTTTGCCATGTTAAATTATAACCATTTTTTAAAAAAATTAATTCAAAAGCTACCTTTATAGTAATAAATATTAGATGGAGATAATTTAAAATATTTTTATATAATAAAGAATGAAAGTTCGAAATAGGGACAATTCATATCAAGGAAATATAAAACGTATATGCTTAACATAATTCACAATTAATTAATCGTTTTACGTAAAGTCTTGGTAGAAATTAAAAAGTTAGTGTCACGAGCGTGATTCGAACCCACGACCTTCGGCTCAATACGCCGCTGGTCTGGCCACTTGATACCACCGCTCGTCACACTAACTTTTTCACTTCTTC